CAGGAGATACCCCCACTCCCCAAGGTCCTACTGTGGGTGGACAGGGGGAGGTGTGGGGCGCTGGAGGACGAAAACCCGCGCGCGCGCTCGCCACCCAACACCCCGCGAGTGTCCGCCCGGCCGCCTAGGTGCCCGCGGGAGAGAGTCTGGATGGGGCCAGGATCAGCGTTCCTCCAAGCGGGGGAGAGCGCCACGGCCCCCTCTGGCGGTGGCGTTGGCAGCGGCCGAGGAAGGCAAAAGCAAGCGGCTCACAGGAAAACTCCCCACAACGCCCCTTTCGCCTCTACGCACTCACCTGGGGTGCCCTCACTCCCCCGCGGGTTTCTTCCGAGCTCCCTAGCCTAGAGCTGATCTCAGGGCTCTCGCCAGGCCCCAGGGACTTCCCCTTATCCAGTCCTAGCACCGCAGCGAATGGGACCCGCAAGTGTAGTGGGAGGGGGCACTCTTACCTAGAGGTGGGGGGGACAGGGAGACACTGGTCCCTTAGCCCGGCTCGGCTCGGTCGCGGTGGCCTCAGGCTTAGGAGGACACTGTTGCCTTTACCCGGGAGCCCGCTGAGTAGGAGGAGAGCGAGCCTGTCCCGCCCCGCTCCCGCCAGTCCCCGCCCCCGTCCCCCATCCCGTCCGCCTGGCCAGCCAAAGAAGACGCCCTTGTGGGGCTGGAGCCCAAGGTCCCCCCACCCACCCTTTCCCACAGCAGCACCTCCCCCAGCCTGCACAGCGCCCGCTTTGTTCATCTTTGCAGCTGGGCTCTCCACCACCACCACCACCAGCACCACTACCACCACCACCACCACCACCACCACCGCCACCACGGCCACCACCAAGACCACATACCCCCCTCTCCTCCCACCCTGCCCTCCCGACTCTCCTAGACCACCCTCAACTCCTAGGCTTTAACGCGCTTCTGAGAGGGTGTTTTTGACAATCCGTTTCCCTGCCCCCAAACTCTCCCCTCTTTCTTTTTGCCTTTGATGCCGGAAACCTCCACAGGCTCCTAGTGAACCTCCTAAATCGAAGCCCCTACAACATGCTCTCAATATCTCCAGAACATCTACTGAGGGTACGCAGGTCTTCTCCCTGTCACCCCCTCCCCTCCTCGCCCCATTCTAAGCCCCACCATGAAGAGCTGTAAATGGGATTGATAACCACGCACATCAGGCTTCACAGACTTTCTTAAGGATAGGCACAAGAAGACACGTTAAAGTACCATGCAAACTCCAAAGCACAGGAAAGCGGAATGGAATTATCATCTTGCACCCATGGAGCTCCACACCCATCCACGCCGACAGACCTGCTGGTTACAGATTGGGATATGGAGGCAGGCTGTAGACTTACAGTTGAGCACACCAACCTGTAGTAGGAGTGGGAGTTAATAAGGAAGAGAAGGAAGCACTAAACACTTAAAAGCGGCCCCCAAATTGAGCTAGGTTGAAGTCATTCTCCATCTCAACCTCCACCCCGAAATCCAATGCTGACAGTGGATCCTTACCTTGCAAAGCCAGCTCTTGGCCCAGGAGACTGGCTGGGGAGACCCTAGAGAGCTGAACTCAGCTAGACTTCTGGACTTCTTTGACCTGCACTAGAGGGACCCTGGAGACTCTTCTTCACTGAAGGAAGGAGCAGAAAGCCTGTAAGTCTGGTCTAAATTCCAGCTGGGGTGGATAGCAAAAAATAATTTTTCCTCTTTGAGATGGACAAGTGCTGTTCTGATTCAATGAGTTTAGTTAGTGCTGTCTCTCCCTAACCCAGGAACAGCAGGAGGCTGAACTACAGGAATCTCTGGTCACTCATTGACAGGGCTGGCCTTAGCAGGGGGCCCCCCACGGCTGGAGACTGAAGCTGACCAGGGCCAAGCAGCAGACAAGGAGGGGGAGGGGAGAGGCCTCCCTTTGCTGCCACCTGCTATAGCTAATGGAGGTGGAACACTCAAGCTCCAGAATATGCTGTGGGTACCAGGAAGTCCTAGGATGTGAGGAGCGAGACTCTTAATTTTTCCTTTCTTCATATTGTTTGAAGTCATGAAAGTAATTGTGGTGAACCTTCATGAGGCAGATCACAAAGGTAATAGCCCATTCGGGTATGTAAAAAAACGAAGAAAGAAAAAACCCAAACTGTTGTATCCCATGTGCCAAGACCCAGCACTGAGGGGAGGGGTCCAGATTGTGGTATCTCAGAGGCTTTTCACTTCATTCTGTTTCACCACCCCCAGCTCCTCTTTACTGTACTGGGCAGGAGGAGTTTCAGGGAATAATCAAGCCTGCCATGGAGGCAGCAGATGCTGAGGCAGAGGGTCGAAACAGCACCCAACTTCTCTCACTGTCCTCCCAACACAGGGACCAGCTGACCCCATGATAAAGGCGCTGTGCAATGTGTCCTCTCTCCTGCTGTGTCAGGCCTCTATGTTCCCACAGTTAGAGCACTCAGGGGACTAAAGACCTACCGCCCCCACTCTTCATCCCCGCCCTGCTCCACATCTGGAGCCCATCAAAAAACTCAGTGCTCTCTCATAGTTACGCAAGAGGTCGAGCAGCTGGGAGCTCAGGAAAGGAGGAGGAGGAGAGGGAAAGAAAGCAGAAAACAGCTTTCCAGGCTTGCTTCAGACTTTCCGAAGTGGAAGCAGGGGGAGAGGGCAAAGCCTGGGTGTGGAAGGAAGGGTGGATTTTTCTAAGGCCCTCTGCATTGGTTATGAATGTCAGGAGTGGATTTCCATACTCCTGCTTTTGCCTTGGCACATTCCCCACTTTGTCCCACCTCTCAAATTGTACTCCCTCTAGCCCCAGAGAGGTGATTATTGCTCATACAGCATGCAATCCTTGTAGATACACACCCTCTTCCAGAAAGCTATCCCTTTCTGGCCTCTGGATCCTGAAGTCACCATCATTGGTGTAGGCATGGTGGTAGCAATGACCCTGCAACAACTTGGGGAAAAGCTCAAAGCTGTCTTTTCAGCTTGTCTTAGAAATTGCAGTCTGCTTCTACCCAAAGCTAACACTCATTCAAGCTGAGTGGGAAATTTGGGGAGGACAGAAAACTGGTCTTGTGTACCTCCAAGGCTAAGGGCTTTCCTAATGAGCTGAAAAGAACAAGCATTCATTTGGGCAAAAGAATGGGAAACAAGACCTATTTCGATTTCTCTCATTGTCTTGAATTTCTAATGCTTCTTTCAAACAGCCCCTGTCCTGGTTTGGTAATCAATCTGATCACAGAGTACACCTAGGGCAGCTTTCCAGAATTGGTTTAGACCCTAAATAACCACTTAGCCCCTTCCCTAAGAACAGCAGGTCATGTAACTTTGGTGGGGGGTGGGAGAAGTGGTCCAAGCTTCTGAAAACTCTAATAGCTTGACTTGTGATTGTGTGAGGGAAAACAGCCTGGTTTGGAAAGATAGTCTAATTTTCCTAAAGGCCTACCTCCGTATCAATCACCAACTCCCCAGGATAAGACGTTAAGACGTTTGTAGTGTTGCTGTCTGCCCTTGGGTAACAGCAATGCACAGCAACAAACCTACTTGTGGATCTTCTAAGACGAGGGAATTTGGGGTGAGGGGGTTGTAATAAGACAGATGTGCATAGCAAAAGAAAATCATTTGTGAGATTTTGCTTGTGATTTCTCTAAAGCCTACAAGACAGAAGCCATATTCGCTACTCTCATATAGATCCATGTTTAGTACTAGCTGTGGTTAACACTTCTCTAACTTGAAAAAAAAAAAAAAAAAAAAAGGCTTTGCAAGCAGGTATAGTCATTGCTTCTAGTTAGACTTTAATCTTCTTGAGGATGACTTTTTCCATTTTTCTCCTGTCTCCTTCCAATAAGCCCTGCCAGGTGTGAAGTTTAATAAAAAGCTATTCTATGGCAACCCTGTAAATCTCAGACCCTACCTACAGTGTGAACAACTTTAAAACTGTTCACAATTTAAAAATTAATTGGAGGGCAAAGTTTCCCATCAGAGATGCATGGGTTGACAAATTTGAAGCTACAGTGAGTAAAGGAATGACAGACCTTAATCGTTTCATTCGAGTAAGGCTACAGTCTCACTCAGAGAGCTAAGCCACACTTGAGCAACATTAGACCAGATACTTTTTCACCAAGGAAAAATCAGAATCTTAGCTTTCAACGTTAAATTAAAAATTTCTCATCCCAGATACTTATTAATAAGTGAGAATAATTTGCCTTCCAATGTTTTGACACTCAATAGTTTTTCCAAGTTAAATTTTAAAAAAGCATAAGAAAGTAAGCAGCTCTGGCCAGGTGTGGTGGCTCACGCCTGTAATCCCAGCACTTTGGGAGGCCGAGGCGGGGAGATCACAAGGTCAGGAGTTCAAGACCAGCCTGGCCAACATGGTGAAACCCTGTCTCTACTAAAATACAAAAAAAATTAGCCGGGCATGATGGCGGTTGCCTATAATCCCAGCTACTTGGGAGGCTGACACAGGAGAATCGCTTGAAGCTGGGCGATGGTGGTGGTTGCAGTGAGCCGAGATCGCGCCACTGCACTCCAGACTGGGCGACTGAGCGAGACTGTCTCAAAAAAAAACCAAAAAAAAAACCCACAAAAAAACAAAAAACAAAAAACAAGTGGCTTTACCCAAGGGAATTATCAACAGTTCCCCAAAATTGTTCCCATTATCCCTCATCCCTGGAACACTTCTCATCACGGTCTAATGGGGAAGAGAAGACTCCAGGATTAAAGATGAAGCCTGACTTTTCTGACTCTCCAACTGCCATCTGACAAAATTAAGACTCCAATCCCCCAAAAGGCCAGAAGTAGCATCAGATTCAAAAGCTACACTGTCAGGAGTGCATGTATCAAATGTAGAAAAATACACAAGGAAGCACAATACATATAATATGGAGAAAAGGCAATGAATACTCTCAGAGATTATTTTCTCTTAAAAAAAACATGTCATTAATTTTTAATCTTAGGTCCCATTACAGCATCCTGAATCAACAAGCAGACACCAAAGTGAGTCAAGAATCCAATAAACATCTCATTTTATAATGCTCTTTATTTGATTAAAGAATTTGCCTTCTTTGTATACACTGGAATGTTATATTCCCTATGTATTTTACAGGGTTACAAAATGTCTCTCATTTTAAATATTACCCCAAAAGTAATCTCAGAAAAAAAAGGTTTTTTGAAATTAAACTTGACTTTTAAAAAATCATATGGACAAACAACTTTCAAACAAAACTGGATTAGTAGGATTTCTTGCCTACTTAACTACATGACAGACTTCTTGTCCCAGGCCCCTTTCTCAGAAAAACCTCATGTGGAAACCAAGCTAGAGATAAGAATTCTTCCCTGATGCAGTTAGGGGAAAGGGAAAGGCTAGAAACTTCTTTGGCAAGCAATTCCATACACAGCCATTTATGTGCGAGTGCTCTGCTTCAAGTACAGTACACTCTTTGCAGGGAAGGCCAGATGTTGTTCAGAGTGGGAGTGGTACTTGTCAACCAGCTAAAAGCACAGAAGTCCATCTAGTCATCTGCCTCTTCCCACTGCCAGTGCCTGCAGCCTTGTAGCAACTTTTCACCACCCTATGGACTGGAATACTGAGTTAAAAGCCAAGGCTGAGCTGGCTGACACTGTAGTCTCCATTGAAAACGAAATGGATGAGATGGAACTGAGAAACCACCAGTACATGATGATACTCAAAAGGTTTAGAGGGAAGAGAAGGATGGATTTCAGAGATGGGGACAGATAGACTGGTGGAAAATGTTGGGCTGACTGGAAGGAAATGGGGTATACATGAGTAATCTGTACATACCAAAACAATCAGTTGCCTCCTAAAATGCAAAAAATCGAATGGTGAAATGAAGCCTCCTTGACAGTTTAGGGCCAACAGGATTGGCACAAAGACTCCCTGAACCCACAGCCTTCAAAATCATAACCCTGTTTCTGTTCGAAAGGAGAGGACTGATGACAGAGAGTGCACTCTAGAAGTGGGAGGTGGTGAAATTGAGGAATGTGAATGGATTACAAAGACTGAGGCTATTACGTTTTAGCTTAAGTACCCAAAATGTGGAGAACTGGAAATTTGGGTAGCAATAGCAGCAGACATGATTACATGTGGATGTGAAATCCCTAACTGGACAGACATAACCATTCTTTTAGACATCTTGAAGAGGGACTGTGCCATTTGAAAGGTACATCTCAGCTATCTTTAATATTGACACAAGCGGGATTCACGGTACTTTTCTAAACTGGAAGGACAGGCCCTGAAAGGAAAACAACTTGGCAAAGAGATGAAGGAATGAATGGATATGGGAAAAGGACAGAAGACATCCTTATCTTCTAACTTCTAGACCCCACACCCCTCAAACAGTTCACCTGAATAGTCCAAAAATCAAGAATGGGTTAGATATACTTGTTGCAGGAGTGCCAAATAAATACAATGCCTGTAAACAGATGATCCCAGTGCCTGACTGAATGTATAGAAAGAAAAACCTAAAGGTAAAGGGTATGAAAGATTAAAATCTTCTACAGAGAAAACTTTTTAAAAACAAAGTATGAAATATAACTATATTTAGGGATTATATATTTAGGGATTAAAATAAAGGAGCAGCCAGGTGCAGTGGCTCATGCCTGTAATCCCAGCACTTTGGGAGGCCGAGGTGGGTGGATTTCCTGAGCTCAGGAGTTCACGACCAGCCTGGGCAACACGGTGAAACCCCATCTCTACTAAAATACAAAAAATTAGCCAGGGGTGGTGGTGTGCACCTATAGTCCCAGCTACTTGGGAGGCTGAGGCAGGAGACCTGCTTGAACCCAGGAGTCAGAGGCTGCAGTGAGCCAAGATCATGCCATTTCATTCCAGCCTGGGTGACAGAGCGAGACTCCATCTCAAAAAAAAAAAACCCAAAAATAATAATAAAATAAAAATAAAGGAGCAACTTAGGTAAAGGAAGAGGAGCTATTTAACTGGGGGCATTCTCTGGAGAGTTTGCTTTCCTGCTGGCCAATAAAATCTGCCAAAGAAAATTAGCAGCCTTTCCCTTTATGTTTGTGCCATTTCTTTATCAAAGAATGTCTCCGTGACACTGAAACATGGGGGTGAGTCGAGGGTCCTTGCGCGCAGAGAATCGTGCATTGTATCAGAAAAAAGGGGTCTCCAATGGCTTGTAAATTTGGGAAAAACTCGTCAGCCATCGTTGGCGTCTTCTTTATTAATCTGAAAATTTTCCTTTTCAGCTCCCTCTTCTTGGTATTACAGGATTTCATACTTATCCACTAGGAAAGTGGTCTCTGTGGAAAACCTGACAGGGCTGTTTCCATCTACCTGGGTCACTTTGGTAACCTAGGAAAATAAACAAAGAGTAAGGTAAAGCAGGAGGTTTGAGTCTCCATGATGTTGACTACATTCTCACTACAGAACATATCAATTTCCCTAAAAGTGGTATTAAAAGTAACTGTAAAATACTAGAAAAATGTTCAATTCATAACCGAAAGTCACAGCATCACTCTTCCCCACCAACATATTAAGCTGCTCTCCTTCTAGATAGAGAAAAGACAACTGTTGGGATGAGATGTACAGTAGTATTAAGTAAAAGCTCCAAAATGAGTGGCCATAGCCCAGCCCTGCCCTATATAACCTATGAAATTCATAGACATTCTATCAGGATGATATATTAACATTCTGACCCAAAACGCAATGTTCTAGCTCTTCACATTATTCATTTGCTCTGCTCTCAAAGTCCCGTGTTAAAAGTCCCTGTAAGCTGCTCTATCATACTTATTTTTTAGGCATGGCTGGGTCCTTCCAATGAGGTTTCTCCTTTTTAAATAAATAAATGTCCAGTTTAATTAATTACCTGTAGCAAAGGTACCTATAATGGCACCAACACAACACTTGAACCACTGATTCATACTTTCTAATGAGGTTTTGGGAGAGCAACTACACTGTCCTAATCTTTGAAGAGCCCCAATAGGAAAATTTACCCATTTCTATCTAATGTCTTGAGTTCAATACAGTAGCTTCCAACACTGATGGGGTTATGTCACTAACTGGTTAGGGAGAGAGAACTGCTCTTTGGAATCATCCAAGGGAGGAAGCTGCAACTTTCTAAGCACTTACAGGGGAGATGGAGACCATATGGGAAGCTAAGGTAGGGGCAGAACAACAAGCAAGTCAAAAATAGGGGAATATTAACAATATAAACTAGGTTCTAGTAACTCAAATTCAAAAATTGGAAGAATGGTCAGGCGCGGTGGCTCACTCCTATAATCCCAGCACTTTGGGAAGCCGTCAGGAGTTAGAGACCAGCCTGGTCAACGTGGTGAAACCCCATCTCTACTAAAAATACACACAAAAAATTAGCTGGGTGTGGTAGTGCACACCTGTAGACCCAGCTACTTAGGAGGCTGAGGCAGAAGAATCACTTGAACCCGGGAGGCAGAGGCTGAAGTGAGCTGAGATCGCACTGCACTCCAGCTTGGGTGACAGAGCGAGACTCCATCTCAAAACAACAACAACAAAAACTCGAAGAATGATGAGTTAAAAAACAATGTTCCGGGCTGAGCACGGTGGCTCACGCCTGTAATCCCAGCACTTTGGGAGGCCAAGGTGGGTGGATCACGAGGTCAGGAGTTTGAGACCAGCTTGGCCAACATGGTGAAACCCTGTCTCTACTAAAAATACAAAATTAGCTGGGCATAGTGGCACGTGCCTGTAGTCCCAGCTACTCAGGAGGCTGAGGCAGGAGAATCACTTGAACCTGGAAGGCAGAGGTTGCAGTGAGCCAACATCATGCCATTGCACTCCAGCCTGGGCAACAAGAGTGAAACTCTTAAAAAAAAAAAAAAAAAAAAATTCCGCTGGGCACGGTGGCTCACGCCTATAATCCCAGCAGTTTTGGAGACTGAGGCGGGTGGATCACCTGACGTCAGAAGTTCGAGACCAGCCTGACCAACATGGAGAAACCAAGACTGCGGTGAGCCAAGATCGCGCCACTGCACTCCAGCCTGGGTAACGAGCAAAACTCAATCTCCAAAAAAAAAAAAAAAAAAAAAAAAATCCGAAGGAACAGTTCACACATTTCCATTGCTTTGCCTACCTAAAGGACAGAGTTTGCAACAGAATTGGCTCATGATTATTTGTACTAATAAAGGGAGCTGTGACATAAATAACCCCCAAATAATTTCCATTTGTAATAGAATGATTTTTTTTTTTTTTTTGCAGGAATTTTGTCTTCCAAATAAAAAAACTTTCATTCTTTGGTTATAAATCAAGTGACAGCAAGGCCTTAAAAAACTATGTGTTGGGTGTTTTGGTAAATCAATTTTAAAATATATAAGGTTAAAAAAAACAGGCAACTAAGTGTTTATGAACCCTGCACAATCCACAAGTACTTTTTTACGTATTAATATTCAATTTCTTTACTTTGTCTGATCTAGAGAGGAAAACTGAGGTAAAGCGATAAAGAATTTGACCACGATCACACAATGAATTAGAAAAGGAATTCCTGTAGAAGACATCAGCTTTTTTCTGAGCTTTATCTGACTACAAAAAGCCATGCTGTCTGGCATCCTATACATGTTCCTACTGTCCTACCACTTTCCCTATACATGTTCTCAACTAAAATGGAGTACCTGTATGTTACAGTAATTTTTCTTGGAGACAAAGGAAACTTGAACAGGGAAGAAGTCATTAGGCTGCCCAGCAATGCTAAACTCCAGGCTGCCACTCTTATTTTTGGCATCAATCACAGGCAGGCACCACTCTAGGGTATTTCGTCGACTGTCATGTCGATACTCCCCATCGATCTCACCAATAACAGGCGCGCCGACACCAGACCTGTTGTAAGAAACATTCTGGTCAAGGTAGCTGTTCAGAGCTGGAACTCTACCAAGGAAAACCAACCCCAAATTTGATTACGATCCTCAAATTCTGCCTTCTAGGACTACAATTTCAGGGAAAAAAAAAAGGCTCCCTAATAACTTCAAGGATCAAACAATGAAGTCCTAGCACCTTGGCTAAGAGTTTCACTCAATTCCCTCTGTAGATACAGTTAATATGCAAAAATAGGTATTTGGCAGATACGTCTATGGCTGCTCCAATTTATGGACTAGACCTGGGGACTGCGACCAACAAATGTGTTAAGATGGCTATGTTTCCAAAAACCCTGCTGCCTTGTAAATAAGGAATTTAAACATAATGTAGCACTCTTTATAGGAGACAATAGGGAAACAAGCAGGTTGATTTGGGGGGAAACTCTAAACATCAATAATGGAGATGAATGGAGGCCTCTGAGAGAATTTATTTTGTTTTGTTTTTGAGACAGAGTCTCGCTCTGTCGCCAGGCTGGAGTACAGTGGCGCGATCTCAGCTCACTGCAACCTCTGCCTCCTCAGTTCCAGCGATTCTCCTGCCTCAGCCTCCCAAGGTGCTAGGACTACGGGTGTGCACCACTATGCCCAGCTAATTTCTGTATTTTTAGTAGAGGCAGGGTTTCAACATGTCGGCCAGGATAGTCTCAATCTCTTGACCTTGTGATCTGCTTGCCTCGGCCTCCCAAAATGCTGGGATTATAGGTATGAGCCACCGCACTCGGCTGAGAATTTGTTTTTAAAGATTTCAGAATGTTTCAAACTTACTGAAGTTGACACCAATGGGTTTATTTGATTTACAATTCAGTAAATGGACTTTTATTTGATAAGTGAAAGCACAATTACCCCTGGGGCAAATGGAAACATGATGGGAGAAACAGATCCATAGCTGTCCTTAATCAGCAAGAGAAGCAGGGCTAGTTAAGATTTACTCTGCACCCCTACACACGGCTGACAGGCAGTGTCACCTACTCCTACACATTCTAAATTTACTGGCTTTTAATTCACCATTGACACTCAATGTTTATATTAGGGATAGGGTAAATAAGGGAGACAAAGTAAACTTTACGAGTGGCGTAAGACTATTAATTCTTCCCTATCAATTTCAGGGTCCTGGTTCTTTTATGTTCTTTCTCTGTGCACTTGCTCTAATTCTGATTCTGATCTCTTCTAATTTGATCAGTTCTAGACAATGGGAGTAAAATGTTGTATAAGGGTCTCTTCTGGAGACCATTGCAAAACTGAACTAGAATACAGGAAACCACCACAACCACAATTATAGGGTAGACAGGCCTCAAAATTGTGGCATTCTATAAATAGTCCAGTAAACGAAATCTTGACAAACAAAACTCTACCTGTCACCAACGCCCAAGTCCTACAACGGTCCAAGGCAGCCATCTACTGTTCTGAAGCAATAACCATACTGTAGAGGATAAGATGGTTACCCATTAAAGGGGATACTAGTAATAAAGCATGTTTTAAAAAGTGGAACTAAGAATGACTAAAACCAGACCTGATAATGTAAAAGCTTGAATTATCAAAAAGGGAAGAAAAATATGAATTAAATTAGTACCATTTTCTCTGCAGCAATAACTGAGCAATATAACAGTAAAGATACACTAAGGATACACTTACTGGTACTCATAATTAGACCCTGTGCTTAATCATGAGGGCTGATGGGCAGGTGAAAGGAGCTAGGATTTACTGGTGAAGTAATAACTGCATGCTTACTGGAAATGCTACTAAACAGATAAGGTAGATACCATTTCCAGATGATCCTAGAGAGTGGGACACTTAGGGTGTACAACAAAAGCTTACTGGAACTCAACTTCTGGGGTTGAAAGACATTTTTGTTATCTTGATTACGGTGGTGGTTTCACAGGTGTAAATATACCAAGACTGCACAATTAAAATATGTGTAGCTTGTTGTATATAAATTATGCTCCAAAAGGGCTGTTAGGAAATTTACTGTAACTAATGTAGACATCTTGTTTAACAAGAATCAACAGTTCCCTTGAATACACTCTCATCTTTAGTGAAAGTTTAGAAAGCACGTGAAAATAAAACATTCAGCCTGATAGACTCAATTTCTTTGAAAGTTGCAAAACAGAAAGCTTGACTGAGAAATGGCTCCTCCTTCTGGAAACCTTCATTACTACACAAACAAGCTGAGGGCCAACATCTAAAACCGGCTCCAGGCCAGGTGCAGTGGCTCAAGCCTGTAATCCCAGCACTTTGGAAGGCCAAGGCAGGTGGATCATTTTGAGGCCAGGAGTTTGAGACCAGCCTGGCCTCAAAGGTGAAACCCCATCTCTATTAAAAATACAAAAATTAGGCTGGGTGTGGTGGCTCATGCCTGTAATCCCAGCACATTGGGAGGCCGAGGCGGGTGGATCACAAGGTCAGGAGATCGAGACCACCCTGGCCAAATATAGTGAAACCCCGTCTCTACTAAAATACAAAAAAAATTAGCCGGGTGTGGTGGCCCGTGCCTGTAGTCCCAGCTACTTGGGAGGCTAAGGCAGGGGAATTGCTTGAACCAGGAGGCAGAGGTTGCAGTGAGCCGAGATCGTGCCACTGCACTCCAGCCGG